TAGCTGGTTTTTCATTGTAATAACTGTGAACTTCCTAAGTAAATTCAGGTCTGATGATTCGTTTTAATCGCTCAATGTGTGTTATCATAGTAATAACCTGAGCACGCAAAAATGTGAAATGGCCCTTTTCGTTATAGCAGGTTAGAAGACCTAAACCACCATTTGTTACCACCAGTAACTTGAATTATTTATCAGTACAGAATATATTAAATCACTTAGTTATGCCTACGTTACATGATATAGCTTTGATACGTCAATTTTATGAGAACAACCAAGTGTATTCTTAGTAATAGAAATTATGATAATCTTCTATGTATGAAAATGATCGATTGCAACGATGAAAAAAAGTCATCAAATGCAGGGCGTACTTCTTTAGCGGGCTATTTAGTTGGTTTAAACCAGCAAATCCTAGAGAAAGTAAGAAGTAAACACTTTCATCCTGGAGTTCAGATCATTTGTTTCACAACTCAGTTGTTTCAGTTTCCTGTTTTATTGACGTTTACAGCGAGACTACATTTTATGGTTGACCTCTGAGCGGCGCTTAAGGCTTTTTGAGAATTTTCGCCTACTGACTAGAGCTAAATGAGGGTTTCCATCACGAGCTGACTGAAGCTAAAATGCCAAGACCTTATTTAGCAAAATGGATGAGGAATCTCGTGCCGAAATTAAAGATCTCTTGTCGTAAATCCGATTGGTCCGTCCATAAATTATAGTCTCGCCGTTCAACTTTCGAAGTTTATTAGGGTTGTTTTCCATACATTGTCCACCATCGATTATCAAAAGATGATCCGGTTGGTAATAACTAACTTCAAGAACTTATCCTCATAGGAGCAGAATGATGCGTGTGGAGGATTGCAGGCGCCACAAAATTCTCTACTCCTAAATAATGAAATTTTAAGATTGGGTTTGTGTTTAAAAGTAAGCTGTGTAAGAACTGAGATTTTACTGAGAGTGAATGCATCGTAAGTCTGATTTCTGTTGTAAATAATCTGAAACCACACCTTACTTTAGGATTCATACAGTTTAATAGTGTAAATAACCTCTTAAGAAGATGCTTGTCTCGCCTTTAATGTTTGTATCGTTTGTTTCTATATGGATCATTGTATTCAGATTATCACCTCAAAACGTGACGTGAAGAAACAGACGTGAGTTATGATAAATTAGTTTTACTGAAATGTAGCGACGGCAAAAGCCACTTTCAGTGGAGTACCACGATTATCAAGCGAAAACCCGCCCTACGTGTGGTATAATGATCATAGCTTTGTTCAATATGTCACAATAAGGAAGTTTCAGTACCAAATGTACAAGACAACCCAAAGTTTCTTGCAAGCATCTACCCAAATAGTAATTATCTAACATCATATTTCATAGACGTTTTAAATAGTTATTAAATGAAACCCATTTTCAATTATGGAAGTCTTATACTATTTCGGCTGCTATAACTATTCTTTCTGTCCTTCAAGTATTGGGTGCATGAATCCCTATAGAATCGTCTCTCATTTTCTTGAAGGATAGATGAGGGCCGAAATATCTCAACAACCAGAATGTTTCCGCTTGAGTTTTTCAGCATTTAAGATAGCAATAATTTATAATTCTTATATAATACTGTACGAGTAAATGAAGTTAGTATTCATTCAAACCAATTCAGTCTGATGAACTATGACTAAACAATATAAAATGTTGTGGTAAATAGCCAAGATGGCTGTAATTTTTATTTGAAGAAAATATTCTATTTCATTTAATCGTATTCACAGGAAAATGTGACTGTCCGTTTTATGCACGAATCGAACTTTTGGCGGACAAACTGTCACTAAATCTACCCAGTTTTAGAGTTACAAAAATAGTTAAACAGCCTCAAGATTGGAAAGTAAGTGAATTACCTCATATACATTCACCAAAAATAAGGAATTCACGAAATGGATTACAGAAAAACACGGTTGGTTTGTGGAAGAGTCACCTGTTGTATGGAGAGAATTAGTGGATCAAGGAGGAAAAGGAATTTTAATTGGAGGTGCAAACGAATTTCAAGAGTTAGTTGCTGCTTATTACGGTGAACAAACCTCAATACGTACGGATGAAATGTTGAATATCATGAATGACAACATAAAATATAAGATTCAAGGAGATCAAGAGCAACAAATGAAAATCATTAACACAGTATCCCTATCACATGTGGTAGTTATTGGTGCAGCTGGACTTGGTACTAGTGATTTCCTGGCTAGTATATTAAATGGGAAGGTTTTCGGTGATGAGATGATAGAGTTGTACTTAAATGACGAAGTCGAAAATAAAAATAAATTGTTCGAACTGAGAGAAGTGCTCGAGGAGGCAGCTCTTCCTAAACTTAGTAGAGTACACATTAGTGACGATGTTGATGAATGTCTCACACACGCAAAGCAAGTCATCATTCTAGATGTCATCCCAAGAAAAGGTCCTAGTTTTCCAGATATCAGGATACAAGATGAGTGGGAACCAAGAAGTGAGTGGTTAATACGACGCTTTTTATATTTTGAAAAACTTGGACAAAAAATCAAAGAAAAGTGTCCGAAATCCGTCAGAGTCCTATTAGCTGGAAACATAGTAGCAGACACATTTCTCATGGAAATGACCACACCTATATGTTTTGACGTGACAACACTTCACAGAAGAACGAAAGGGAAGATACCGCCATCACAAATAGTTGGTCTAGTAAAGCCACTTGAATTGAAAGTAAAAGGCGCTGTAGCTAGACATCTGAAAGTTCACACATATGATGTCACTAATGTCATAATTTGGGGGAACTTGGGGAGTTCAGAATTTTTAGATTTATCTCGTTCTTGTGTGTCTTGCAGAAGACACTTTGATGCGGGTGTCGTGGGCAGAAGCCACATTCAGCTTCCAGCCTTGAGTGTAGCTGAAAACCCACAGTGGTTACGCAAAGAACTACTGAAAGAACTACAGAAAGAAAACAATACTAGGAAATCTGAGTGTATAGGACTATTCTACGAAAATGCTATGACTGAATGCTTAAAAGAATGCTGGAACAGTAACCAAAGCCAACCTAACCAAATTACTTCACTTGTTATGATATCAAGAGGTAAATAAAAAAACCCTGTTTTGACTTTTAATAACTAGCTCTTACTCAACTTAAATTGGTCTATTATTTAATGACCATAGCATTGTGATATTAGTTAAACTGAATTATACATAAAGACAAGGAAATATGAATATTAAGAATCAACCGATTATCTCATTCTCTTATTAAGCTGTCTAACAAACTCCATGTTTGGGAACGAAAGCTTGAAATACTTCTGTATGTATCACACCATATAGGCAAGCAAACTAGATTCAAAATACTAGTCACTACATATCGACAGACAAAAAACAATTTGATTACTTATTCTTGTATATTTATGAGTGACCTTTAAAAACTAAAAACGCAATCATATGCGAGACTTTTGGGTTTTCCTTTCGTGGTAACATTGTTTGCGGGATTACAGCGATCCCGAATAGGTGGTCCCCGACAAAATTTTAGGACGATTATAAAAGCACTGATAGCCTAACAACTTATGATAATGACTTGATATTTAACTATCCATTGGAAGATAAACATTCTAAAGCAGTTAGAACTGTACAACTGGGACACTAAATACGAAAACAATGTGCATGCTAAAGGTACCCTTCCATAGATATATTCGACCAGATATTTGGTGAAACAGAACTAAGTCACTACAACCTTATGGTGGAGGGATCAAAGCATCGGTCTAAGAGGCCCTTGGGTCTAAGTTTAGGTTATACATGAAAGGATAACTTTCTGGATAGGGTTTTCAATACGAGGAATTAGTGGCTGATACGGTTTCGGACATATCATAGTGCCACAAATATTCTTTATTGTGAATACGTCATCACTTTCTGGTTTATTCCGTTATGATACTTGAGTATAACAGTTTGAAGCGACACCACTTTGTGGAATTTTTTACTCGATTTGTCAGCGTTTTTCAGGGCTACACAAACTAAGAACAGTAAGGTACTTCATGCACCAAATTGATAAATCTTTTAAAGGTATGCTCGATTCGATTTCCTAGCCTCTTCTAATAACACCAGAAGGAATCTACACGGCAACCTGAGCACGAGAAAAGGTGCGAAAATTGGTGGTAAGAATTTATTTAACTCCCGAAATAAATCTAAACGATTTCAGAATACATCACATTTTATATAGCTTATTTAAAGTTAGATTAACAGTCGAACTAAGTTGTATTGAACAACAGTAATTTAATAAGTTACTGAGTGAACATATATTTAAAATATTATACAATTAAACATCAATAATCCTTGTTAAGATGTGAATACATGTCACACAATAATGCGAAAAACCAATGTCATGTCATTTATAACCTAACTTACTAAGTTATTACTCGTCATATCACAAATAACTTTAAGCACAAAGATAAATCACCAGGTGCAGTTAATTTCTACTCATGAAAAGTGTTATCAGACTACGAATGCCCTACACTATGCAGCAAATTGCTTTGTCATATTAGGCTATTATGGATAGTGAGGTGATGGAGAATATTTGTTGCTCAGATGAGTGATATTGGTGGTCTTGGATTCTTTGATTACGATGATTTGATTGTGAAGCTTCCAGTGTCTACAAGTAGAAGTGAGCATTTTAAAATTATTCCAAAATCGTTAAAGCAATCATTATGACCTTATTTGTGACAGTACTTATGTACAATTTATAATGGATTCTAATTAATAATCGGCGTTGAAATTTCACAAAGATTACATACTCGTTAAAGTAGTGAGAACAAGGGTACCATTAAAATTGAATTAAAATAACAATTAACTCAAACAATCAGATAGGCAACAATACAATCCACAGAACCTTTGCAGTTAATCAGATGTATGATTTCAGGGTTAATCAAAGTATCAAAGCAAACAACAAAATCATGATGATTTATTTAACCGTCATTATCTAGTATCATGTACAGTATCTACAAATACAGACTTGTCTCGCAAATCCATCACATGTTAGTAAACTAAAAACTTAGGGCGAAGCTTTGATTTACATGAACATATCAAAGGAAAACGAATTAAAGTAAAATACATGCAAATCGACTCTAGATGTAGATAAGGAAATAGAAATGACATGATGTAGAGAAAATTCAGTCTGTAAAAGCTTTAGTGTATTAAACTTTAAAAATGATCTATATAATATGATCGAAGCAATTTTCAGAACGCTCACATCTCAAAAATAAAATCCAGATATAACAGGAAGATGCTGTCCAATTACCGTAATGCTAATTGTTAAACAGTATATCAAGATCCTCTAGCCATACCTAGAAAGTTCCAAACTACACTGAACAGCCCGTTTTGACGTGGATATTACAACTCATTTCTTACGTATTTATGGCGCTGTGTTCATTAAATAGCTGTTTGCTCGCTTTCAGACTGGTATGGAGTACCAGAAGGGATCGCATTTTCGTTCCCTGTTATGTGCGGCTCCTACGGATATTGGTCGATTGTGGAAGATATGTCTCTTACACCAGAAGTTGAAACTCAGTTGAAAACATCCATTCGAGTAAGTATTAACGTTATCACAGGAATAATTTTCCCTTTAACCTTCCAAATTAGCAATGAAACATAGGATGTGAATGCACTTCACCAGTACATATTCAGGATTATTCTTCCTCAGTTTACCATTGAAATTGAATTCATACCTGTAAGATCGGAAACAATTGGACTATTTTCCATTGGAATTTAGTTAATTTTCAAATTTAGATTTGAGCAACGTAAAACTACATTTGAGCTTTAATTTATTTTAAACTTCCTGATAATGAATATGTGATCACTTACTTCCAAATAAAGAAATCTCGGTTAAAATAAATCTAATTAAATGTAACATTTACCATGAGATTTATTTGACATTTAGGAAAAAATACTTAATGTTTAATTTGAAATGTAAATCTTCTCTTTAGTTTGTCGTAAATTCAAATAAATTGTATCCAGTCGAAGTTAAAGTCCAATAAGTATTAAGTAAGGTCCACAAAAAGGCGAAATGACTATCTGATAAATATTTTTCCAGCCAGCTTACTTTGTATATTTACAAACCTTCACTATGGCTTATCCGTATTCAATAATTTAATTAACCAAATAATTTGTACGAGATATTAACGAAATTCAAATTTTTATAAAAGTGAGGTTTGGCTACAACAGATAAGGGAGCAAAGATTTTTAAGGTTTAGATTTTATTTTATACCATCTGTAATAAGCTACATTAGAACTAACAAGGATTCTAGTCTAATCAGATGAACCAAACAGAAATAGTCGTGTTAAATTATATACTTACCTAGGGAGTTCATTTTTTTTATTCCAAGTTTAGTAGAAAAAGGTAAAGTACCTGCTTTGTATTCATCTATATTAAAAACAGATTATTTTGATGTACAGTGTTGATTAGTTTAGTATTCCATCATTTATTCCTTATTGTATTTCTTTAAGTTATTCTAGTCATTCATCAGTCAGCTATTTTTCCTAGTGGTGACTCTTCTCAAAAAACTCCGCCTGTAGCTCTCTTAGAGTTACTGTTGGTCTCAAGACCGGATAAAGGAGATGGGTTGGGCATGGGGTTAGCGTCCCCATCCCGTAGAAAACTAACTCGCTAAAAAACGCCAACCAGAAAAAACGATTCAAACCATTTAAACTCTGCCCTGGGAGTTAGGTCTTCATTTAGAAGAAATATAACGCCTCATGGTGAAAGCCGAGTTCCTTCGGAAGCCATGAGGCCGATGCCCATTCTAACAACCAGAGCAACAGTTTTTATAGGCACATGGAACGTCCGAACAATGTGGGAGACCGGGAAGACCAGTCAAATAGCAACGGAAATGAGGAGATACAACTTGACAGTACTGGGAATCAGCGAAACCCATTGGACCCAAGCTAGACAATAAAAGCTAAATACGCGAGAGATGCTGCTATACTCCGGTCACGAAGAGGAAAATGCTCCACACACTCAGGGAGTTGCTCTAATGCTTTCCAAAGTAGCACAAAATGCACTTGTAGGATGGGAATCTAACGGATCCAGAATCATTAAAGCATCATTCAAAACAAAGAAGGAGGGGATCACAATGAACATTATTCAATGTTATGCACCCACCAATGATAGCAACGACGAGGTTAAAGATCAATTCTATGAGAGGCTGCAATCAATCATACAGAAGTGCCCAAGAAAAGACCTCACCATTCTGATAGGAAATCTAAACGCCAAAGTCGGAATGGACAACACCGGATATGAAGACATCATGGGACTGCATGGACTGGGAGAGAGAAACGAAAACGGGGAAAGATTTGCAAATCTGTGTGCATTCAATAAATTGGTCATAGGCGGTACAATATTTCCACACAAACGTATACACAAAGCTACATGGATCTCACCGGACCACTCCACAGAGAATCAGATAGATCATATTTGCATCAATAAATAGTTCCGAAGGACAATGGAAGATGTGAAAACCAGGAGAGGAGCGGACATAGCTTTAGATCACCATCTGGTTGTGGCCAATTTAAAACTGAAGCTAAAGAAGAACTGGACAACTGGACAAACAGCACCACAAAGGTTCAATACAGCCTTCCTTCGAGATACTGACAAACTCAATGAATTCAAGATAGCTCTCAACAACAGGTTCCAAGCCCTACAGGATCTACTGAAGGAAGAAGAAACTACTATGAAGGATAACTGGAAAGGTATAAAAGAAGCATTTACTTCAACGTGTCAATAGGTTCTGGGCCCCAAGAAGCATCATCACAAGGAATGGATCTCTATAGAAAGACTGGAAAGGATCAAAGAGAAAAAGAACAAGAAGACAGAAATTAACAACAGCCGAACACGAGCAGAGAAAGTCCAAGCACAAGCTGAGTACATAAAAGCAAACAAGCAAGTGAAGAGGAGCATTAGAGCCGACAAGCAGAAATACGTGGAAGAACTCGCAACGACGGCGGAGAAAGCTTCAAGATAAGGAAATATGAAACAGCTTTACGATACAACGAAGAAACTATCAGGGAAAGGAAGACCAATCACTGAGATTCAACAACAGCGGAACAGATGGGCAGAGTACTTCGAGGAACTCCTGAATAGGCCGGCTCCATGGAATTCACAAGGAATCGAAGCAGCACACATAGGTCTTCCTATAGATGTCAATCCACCGACGACGGAAGAAATCAGAATGGCCATCAGACAAATCAAGAGCGGGAAAGCAGCAGGACCCGACAATATACCAGCTGAAGCACTGAAGTCAGACATCGAAGTAACTACAAACATGCTTCACCTTCTATTCAAGAAGACCTGGGAGGAGAAACAAGTGCCGATGGACTGGAAAGAAGGACACCTAATCAATATTCCAAAAAAGGAGATCTGAGCAAGTGGAAACTACAGAGGCATTACACTACTGTCAATACCAGGAAAAGTCTTTAACAGTGTTGCTGAACCGGATGAAAGACTCAGTAGACGCTGGATCCCAAATTGCGACACTACGGATCATCGTTGAACAATCAGTTGAGTGGAACTCGTCACTGTACAGCAACTTCATTGATTAAGAAAACGCACTTGACAGTGTAGATAGGAGAGCGTTATGGGAGCTTCTTCGACACTACGGAGTTCCTGAGAAGATTGTCAATATTATCCGGAACTCATACGATGGACTACAGTGCAAAGTAGTGCATGGAGGACAGCTGACAGATGAATTCCAAGGAAGGAACGGAGTAAGACAAGGCTGTCTACTCTCTCCCTTCCTCTTTCTTCTGGTGGTCGACGGGATTATGAAGACCTCGACATCTGAGGGAAAACACGGCATACAATGAACAGCTCAGAACCAATTAGACGATTTGGACTTCGCAGATGACCTAGCCCTCCTATCACATACACACGAACAAATGCAGATAAAAACAACCAGTTTAGCAGCAGTCTCTGCATCAGTAGGCCTCAAAATACACAAAGGGAAAATCAAGGTCCTCAAATACAACACGGAGAACAGCAATCCAATCACTCTTGATGGCGAAACTCTGGAAGATGTGGAATCCTTCACATACCTGGGAAGCATCGTCGACAAACAAGGAGGTTCAGATGCAGACGTAAAGACGAGGGTTGGCAAAGCAAAGGCTGCATTCCTTCAATTAAAGAACATATGGAACTCAAAACAACTTTCAACCAATATCAAAGTCAGAATCTTCAATACCAACGTCAAGGCAGTTCCATTGTACGGAGCTGAAAATTATAGAACTACTACAACCACCATCAAGAAGGTACAAGTATTTATAAATAGCTGTCTACGCAAGATACTCAGCATCCATTGGCCGGATACCATCAGCAACAGCCTTCTGTGGGAGAGAACTAACCAGCTTCCAGCAGAAGAGGAAATTAGGAAAAGACGATGGAAATGGATAGAATATACCTTGAGGAAATCATCAAACTGCATTACGAGACAAGCGCTAACTTGGAATCCTGAAGGGAAGAGGAAAAGAGGAAGGCCAAAGAACACGTTACGTCGGGAAATAGAATCAGATATGAAAAGGATGAATAACAACTGGAAAGAGCTGGAAAGGATTGGTTGGGACAGGGTTGAATGGAGAATGTTGGTGAGCGGCCTATGCTCCTTCACGAAGAGTAACAGGCGTAAGTAAGTAGGCTCTTAAGGTTTTCAGTTAAGTTTTTAGTTAGCCATTTGTAGCTACCAGTAAAACGAAATTTTATTTCAATGTACAAAACTTATTTTTTTTACTTTAGAGTGTTCTCGAAGATTGGGCAGTTGTTGATCCCTTACCGTTGGAAGAGTTTTTAAAAAAAGGTAACTTTGTTCCACTGTATATATTGTATTTAATTTTATAGAAGAAAAACCCAAAGATAACTACAATGAATATCAGGCACAAAATAATCAAGAGAATTAAAAAGCAACTGGATAAAGACAACAAAACATTGAATTTTGCAAAATAATCAAAACAAAGAAATATTCGCCATACACAAAAAACAGATTAACTTGGTAAACAAAAAATAATAACTGTTATAAAGAGACAATAAATTATAATAAATAAAAGAGGCTTAATAACCTTGTTATAAAAAAGTTGAGTTGACTTTATATTTCAAACAAATGTATTCATGAAAAAGTAATTAAATAATGATAGAAAAAAGCACTTGTTTAAAACAAATTATGTGGTCTTGATTTGTATTTGTTAGAAACATATTATTAGAACATTTAGCACGGAGAAAAAAGCTAATAGATTAACATATTTAAGCCTAAAGAAAGTATTACTAGTTGGTTCTAGGTGTCAAACAATATTAAGCTTCATTGAACTTTGCGACTGATTTTTTTGGATTTATCAGCTATTGGTCTTGGTTTATTATCAGCTGCTATGTGTCGTTGGTATAAGCTAGTTAAGACAAATATATATATATACATAAATGTAATTGATTTGATTTTGATAATAAGTATATTTAACTGATAATTTTATCAAAGTAATGAAATACGAATCTTACCTGTAGGCTATAACACATACAGAGAAAGCTTGACTTTCTTTAAGATTGACTATACACGTCTCTCACAAGTACTGACAAACATGGTCTATTGAACTGAGCAGTTCTTGTAGGTGAAGACTATCTCATTGGAGTCTGTACGATCATCATAACGAATCGTCGAAGACAATGGGTATCATCCCTTAGAATCGGTCGCAATGGCCCAGATACACTTGGCCTCCTTTCTTCTAGATCGTGTGTTTGAAAATTATCTTATGTTTTTATACGGCGAATTTAATCTTCTCGAACCATATTATCTATATTTTTTAATACCACTGATTCCGCCAAAACTCTACTACTATGAACTTTGTCCTGAGGATTTTACCTATTTATGTTGATGGGGTGTGGGGGCGGGAGCCAATGTACACATATGCCAGGTTCCAGGCAGCTTATGATTGATTGACTGGACAAACATAAGCAGTGGGTTGACGGCTTTTTGTTGAATAAACGTGGGTATCCAACACGAAAAAACAAATAGATTTCTACATAATTTCCAAACTTTAAATTACCATAATGATTTATCTGCTTTCATTAATGCAATATTGATTGTTTTTAAATGACTTATATTATAAACAGTTGTGACACACAAAGTCGTTAGAGTGTCGCCTTTCTGTTTTGGCATTTGTTAGCGGGATATAGATTGGATTAAATCATGCTCAATGCACGCTTGCGTTGACGCACACTGATTGACTAATTTTTATCCAATCAGCGCTAGCCGACACTTAGAGAACACTCTAGAAATCTTCTCATGCAAAAAAACTATAAATATACTAACGTTTTTCCTATTGTGCTTCTTACTTCCATCTAACCTTGTTATTTGGAATACAATCTCTTTCCTGTTCAACCGTGTTCTGATTTGGGGACTTGTCGAGTGAATTGGTGTCCAAGAATACTATGCAATAGGAATAGCTGGGTTATAACCGTAAGAGAGAGAATTATTACAGTATTATACATACTGAAGACACCGAAGTGAAATACAACTATGTCATACAAAAACAGCAAATATCTCATGAAAATGAGCGTCTAATGTTTAAAACAATTTAAAATGCTTTTAGACAGAATGATTTTATTAAGAGTTAACAAATATCATGTCGACAATGAAGACTCTAATGTACATTACTAACACCTGTTATTCCTCATGAAGCATAGGTTTCCACTCAGGATTATACAACCAACTCTGTCTTAGGCTCCCCTTTCTAGCCGTTTTTAAGTGTTATTCAATCCTTTGATGTCTGCCTTCGATTCACAATGCACTGCGTTCTTTGGTCTGCCTCCTTACCTTTTCCCGTTAGGATTCCAAGTTGGCGTTCGCCTCGTGATTCAGTTTGATGATTTCCACAATGTCCTACCCACCTACAGCGTCTTTTCCTGACTTCTTGAGCTGGAAGTTGATTTTTTCTCTCCCACAATAGGTTTTTGGTGTTATCCAGTCGAGGGATATTGAGTATCTTGTGTAGACAACTGCTTATAAATACTTGCACCTTTTCGATGATGATTGTAGTTGTTCTCCACGTTTCAGCTCTGTACAATAGAACCGTCTTGAAGTTTGGAATGAAATTTCAAACTCTGATACTTACTAACAGTTGTTTTGAGTTACAAATCCTTCAATTAAAGGAATCCCGTCCTTGCTTTACCAAACCATCCATTCACATCTGCATCAGATCCTCCTTGTATATCGATGATGCTGCCCAGGCACATAAAAATTTTCACCTATTCCAGTCAGTCAGTCAACCAGTCACAACGTAGAATCCAGTACGTATGCAAATCGGTTCAAGTTGCTAAGCCCAATGTCAGGCCAAATCCCAGAATAGTAGAGGAAGTGACAGTATCATTGATAACAGAAAAGATTAGGTATCGAAAATATGATTCAAGAAAATTCAAAGTGGCGAAATAAAACAAAAGCTGGAGAATTCAGAATTTGAGGGAAGGCAAAAAATGGATGCAGCTGAGTCATTGCAAACGATTTTGAGACTTGTCTCTAACCATTGGTTATGTTAATTAACCGGGTCCTAACAAGGTAGTCTACACCTGTTAACATGATTCAGTCCGATTGTCATTGACTTTATGGACTGATACGTTTTGATTTGGCCACCCCTACCTTTCTTCCAGCCTACTCCTACGCCAGAAAACATATCTCGTCGAGTTAGGCTATGGTTGGGTATGTAACACATATAAAAACCACCACAGTTGATGAAGATTTACCACCTCATCAATCGATTTCCCATTTCTACCTAGTACTTTACTTCTAACCCAGACATTGCTTATTTCATGATCTTAAAGTACACGAGCAACGCCTCGTAGATAATTATGATCGAATACCAGTAACCTACGATTATCCTCTATTCTAAATGGCCTTTAAGAAATTAAAGTAAAACAGAACGAACTGCTGCATAGTAAACTCCCCCATTTGGTTTGGAGACGTATTTCCCGCCTACGCCACAAGTGAGATTTCATCAGACAACGGACTATCAGTACTGATGAGACTACCAAGATAAGTGGAGCGGTTGATGTGTTCAACTAATTCATTCTCTATCATTAACTCAGGCGATAACGTGAACCAATCGTGAAGCAATATTTTGCATTTGGAGGAAGAGAACCACATCCCAAACATGCTTGCATTATTGCTTAAGGTGGTCAGAAGAATCTGCATTTTTTCAGCTTCTTCACCAAACAGAACTGCGTACTCCAAGTCAATGAGTGTATCTCCTGGGAGATCAATTCCCGAAAATTCAAACGGTGAGTGTTATCTCTAAAAGTGTATCTATGACAAAGTTAAATAAAGATGGGAAAACGAACACCACTTGAAGTTACCGGTGCCGATGACAGTTCACCATAAACTCCAACTCCGCCAGTGTTTGAGGAGAGAGCCTGTACAAGATTAATGTACTTCTCAGATAAACCCTTTAGTGACAGACAATGACACGGAACCTCATAAGTAACAGAGTCAAACTCCACCTTAAGATCAAGGAATCCATCCATAGTTGGACGTCGAAAAGTATGTTTATGTTCCAGAAACTACCAAAAGATGAATATTTAGTCTATTCATCCACGTCTAGGTCTGAAACCAGACTCGTTTTCTCAGGCAGACTCTTCATGAGCTCTAGTTAGGTGCCGAAATATTGATGTGGCTAAACACGTAAAAGTTCCACCTCTTCTAGAGTTTCTATATCAAATGTGATTGGGTTGGTGTTCTCCGTGTTGTATTTTAGAATCTTCCTTTTTCCCTTGTGTATATTGAGGCTTATTGCTACGCTGGTTGTCTTGACCCCAGTCGGTCAGCTAAAACATAGGACCAGGCACATATATACGTCGGTCCAAGTTGCCGCACTTCATTAGCACAACAAGATGAACACCAAATTCATAGAAGTAGCTACTTTAATCGTAGTAATATATAGAAAATAATTGCATATAGGGATATAATACAGGGAGAAAGAATTAGTTCAATGTTCCATTCAGGCTGTTTGGGAATGGTGGGTAGTTGTAGAGTAGCTGAAGGCCAGCTGTAACGCTCCTTAAAGTGACCCACTTATCGTTCTAAAGGTCTAGACTGAGAGCAGATAAGAGACATAAGGTGCGTACGTTGAAGGGTCTAACGTGTAGTTTGGAGCGACGTTTCAGTAGACCTGGGACAGTATTTCGCGCACTAGAATTGTTGGTCATGGTGACACTTGAGGAGGAAGTCAAAAGAGGAAGTTTAGAGTTGAAAGTCGAGGTAGAAGGAATAATAGGAATTGAAGAGGGAGATTGATTATGAATAGTGATCTTGAGTGCTGCTAAAGGTATGAGGGTGGTTTTCACTTCTCGGTTACCCACACAATAGAAGGGTTCTTCTATATGTACCTAAAAAGGAAATTGAGTTAGAGGTGGTCTTAGTGAACTGAGAGCGTGACTGCAGTGCCCAAGGGATAACTGCTTGAGGCCGGTCACACACAGCCTTTTTATGAGTAACTTTCGTGTTAGCTCCGTACTTGTTGAGACCTTATCGTCGTATATGGAAATCCGTGGGATAAGGCGAGATGTGCGTTTTTAGAGTCGACCTTTTCTGACTCTACTCTTCTTTGTGGGAAGGCAGCATCGCTGTTATGCTGCCTTTCTGAAGGAAAAACCTTACTGTCGTCACACCTATATACAGTCAGCAGTACGACTTTGCCGTCGGACCTTTGGTTTGCCGCTCTTAGTCTTACTGTTCTTCAACCAACCTGTATGGGATGGTAGGACCTTGAGAAACGATTGTTCCAGCCAGTATAGCTCGATTGGTTCATTACGATAGGCAAGCCTGACTACCACGTCAAGGTAGCAGCAACGGTCGGGCTGCTTTGACCTGCATATGTTCGTGTGTATGGTATAGAAGAGCTGAGACATCTGCCAAGTCCAAATCGTCCAGTTGCATCTAAAATGTTCATTGTATTCCATGATTCCCTCCAGATGTCAAGGTCTTCATAATCCAGTCAATCACTGCAAGAAAGAGAACGAGGGAGAGTAAGCAGCCTTGTCTGACTCCGGTCCTCACTTGGAATGCAACTGTCCTCCACTCACCACTTTGCAGCGTAGCCCGTCATATGAATTCCGGATGGTGTTGATGATTTTCTCAGGTACACCATAGTGTCGAAGAAGTTTCCATAAAGTCCTCTTATCCACACCGTCAAATGCTTTCTCATAGTCAAAATTGATGTATAGTGGCGAATTCTATTCAAATGATTTCCTAAAGATGACCTGTAGTATCGCACTTTGGTCTGTGCACGACCGATCCTTACGGGATTCGGACTGTTAATCTCGAAAATGGGCTTCTACTGAATCTTTCATCCGACTCAGCAACACTGATGAAAACCCATCTGGTACTGATAGTAGTGTGAGAACTATTTTAACAAGTGTGTTAAATGATTCTTTTACCGACTGTCTAAAATAAAAATTCTAAAAAATAACTCGTATATAGATTGATGTGTAACTCGGATGGTGGCCAGTGTGTACTAATGTACAGAGTAGAATACGGAAACTAGCTAGTCCATCAATGTATACTCATTATATGGTAACATGAAAACTTTTGATTAAAGTTTTCTGTTAATTGTACATATAAACAGAAACGTTATGTATGTAACCAGTCTGTGGCTATTATTCTTAGACACGTACTACTTCGAAGTAAAATCTTACTAATTGAGGCTAATTCTAAACTTGTTTTTAAGTGCGCGTGGATGACTGAGTAATTCTACAGTTAAAGTTAAGAATATAAACCGTAGGATGCCGGCTTAATGGTATAGGGGTTAGGCGTTCAAGCTAGACTCGAGGTCCTGGGTTCAATCCCTGGTAGCAGGACCATGGATGTGAAATCCTGACGAATCCCATACTAGGATTAAACAGCTTTCCAGTACCTTCGCGTTCTCAGTGTTTTTTTTTAAATAAAATCTTTCTGTGATATTAACTGTAAAATTGAAGAATCTCCATAAACCCTAACAGAAATTCTACAATAGTTGTAAAGATTATCGCAATCCACTAACTTGTCCCATCTCATGACTTATGTGTTAAATGTATTTTAATACTTTACTGGTGTATTAAAATTTAGTGACAAAACACGTAGATATAACCGTCGAACAATTACATAATTTGGATACTAGATGGTTGAATGTAACTGGTATAAAATGAGATTATGGAGTATGTCTTGGTAAACAAGAGTGACTGAGTACTAGAAATCCTAAAAATAGTAGATATGTAATTAATGACAAACTATACGTTACTTAAATATATACGAATATTCGTCAATATTAGAACGAATAGTTTGATAAAAATTGGGCGCCGAGTATAGAGAAGTCATTATATGTGAAAATTATATTTGAAATAATCTCAGCAATTGAAATTATTTCAAATATAATTTTCACATATAATTACTTAAATCTGTGTATATTTGTGCATAGATCAGCCCCCAGGAAAAATGACACAGTTAGGATTGTTCTTATTTTTCTTTTAAAGCCATTTTAGTATAATTGTACAATAAGTTAGCGTGACCTAGCAAAAAAATTTTAGAGAAGGAAAATTCTTACAAACACAATAAACACAAAAATGATGGACAGTTTACAGTACAAATATATCTTCATATTTTGAAACTTACAATTTGTATGTCTCTGACCGAATATAATCAAAGACATGAGAGAGACCAACTTGTAACTGATCCTCTATTGGTGAAACCCAATCATTGCCTGATAGTTTAGCTACCTGTTTAGGCCCACAGAGATCAAGTATACCTTGGAAATAGAAAGCAGTAAATCACTTTGCATCAATAAATAGACAATAACAAAAGCACTCGAGTCGAAAAACAATATACATATGTGGTATTTTACTTACATAATGACACACCTTAACTAATGTGCACAGGACTAAACATTCGTAACTTACCATATATACAAACTTGGTTTTCAGCAACACTGTTTGTGTGAGGATAATAACACTAAATGGCTTCTCAAGCCAGAGGCAGGGCAGTGTTTGAGACTGGAACTTATGGAATGAATGTCTAGTGCTGTAACCATTAGGATTGTTTTAGGAATAGAAAGGTGATGGTGCTTTGACGGCTGTAAAGATTTTCTGTGTCAATCTGAGTGTTTTAGGATTTTGAATGATTTTATGGGCTTTCCAACGTAAAAATCCCATCTAAAATATAGTTACATTTATGTTATCAAAGTGCGCTCGAATCCTGACTACACTTCGTCTTTACTATCGTTTTCAGCTGACGAGTTTACTTAATTTGCTGTTACTGCCTTCAGCGGTTAACCTTTAATCACATATGGTGATTTCAATTTATGAGATGGTAGCTTACATTCCATGGTAACCACAATGTAGGTTATTCCCCTACTCGTCCTGTTGTACTTCTATATCTCGTTTTCATCAATGATGCGGTAACATAAGAGACTCGCAAAGGAGCTTCTTTTTTCAATTATGATCACCTTTTAATTTGTTCTCAAATTATATGACAAGCTTGGAAACTGTATCCTTTTCTATCAGATGAAAGTGAAATGTAGGCACTAATAGGTATTAACATCCAAGATATGGAAAACATACTTCGAATGACGCATTTATTTAAAAATGAGTTGGTGGAAGACTAAACCAATGCTATAGCTTTTCCCCCTAAATCTTGCTTTGATCGTCATTGTTGCAGTGAAAAAAGCCTTTATAAGATTTAGTCCTCTTATCTCCCCACAACTTGGAAGGTTGAGAGAAAAATGACGACTAAAAGAAGAATTCTATTGTAGTATGAGCAGAAAAACAATATAACATTTATTCCTGATTAACTGGACAAGGACAAGCAAACTTGGGATTCCGACATCAATAAGCCAGACAAAAGCGTACATATGCATGAGTGAAAACGTCTTAGTTGGGATAGAAACTGAAGTCCTATCCCTATAATAAAAGACTATACCTATGACTTAAGTAACTTCGATTTAAGGAATCAAACAACATCCCGTTTATATAGAATAAGCAATTTGAGACCTAGTCATTCAGTCAATCAGTAGCAACTTAGAACTTCGTACGTACGTACATCAGTTCGAGTTGCCATACCACATTAGCACAGAGATGCAGTTGTCGATTCAAATTCTATAGTGGTAGAGGTAGTAAGAGTATAAGCAGTAATCGGAAACATTAGGGTTTGAAAATGTTATTCAAGGAGTATAATCCAGGGAAATAAATCTGGAAAGAGAAAAAGGGGACATGGAGAATTCAGAAGATTAGAATTTGAGAGAACATAAAGAGTGAATGCACCTGCGCCATTGCAAACGATTTTGAGCCATGTAATTCAAAGCCTCTAACAATCGGTTGTTATCGTCTCGTGGATTCCAACCAGATGGTCTACGCCAACCAACATGGCTTGGTCGACTTGTCAGTGACTTCATGGATTCGTGCCATGTTTTGGTCTGGCTGCCCCCAGATTTATTTCAACCTACTCCTACACTATAAAACACCACTCGTCGGGGCAGTCGGTGGTTGGATATATGTAACACATGTCCCAGCCACCTCAACTGACGAAGTTACACTACTTCATCAATTGATTTGCCATCCTTGCCTAATACCCGTTTCCTAGCAACTGCATTACTTACTTGGTGGTCCCAAGATACATGAGAAATGCTTCTAGGACCTGACGTAGTGTGAATACCTGGTCTATACAACCACGTTCAAGTCGAAAACCAGCCTGGTTTTCTCTAGTCTGCTCTTCACGAGCTTTGGTTAGGCAGTCAGTCAGTCAGCTGCAACGTAGGACCAGGCACGTATATGCATCGGTCCAAGTTGCCATACCGCATTAGCACAACAAGATGAACACCGGATTCATAGAAGTAGTTAATTCAGTGGTGGTTATTTATAGAAGAAAGAGTGTGTATAAGGAGATAGAACAGGAAGATAGAATTAGTTCGTAGGAAGAAAGATTTGAAGTGATTTTAATCTCTTAGTTTAAAGGAAGACAGAGAGTGTATACACCGACGCCATTGTGATAAATTCTGAGCCATGTCACCAAGAGTCTCCAACCATTGGTTACGATAGTCACGCGGACCCCAACCAGGTAGTCTGCATCTACCAACATGGCTCAGACCAGAAGTTAGTGACTTCAAGCACTGATGCCACGTTTTGGTTTGGCCGCCCCTAACTTTCTTCCAGTCATCCCTAACACCGGTTACCATTGCGCGTCGTGGTAATCGGTGTTCAGGCATACGCAGCACGTGGCCCAACCATCTCAGTCGATGAAGATTCATAACCTCATCAACTGATTTACCATCATTCCCTAATACCCTGCGTCTAACCTCACTATTACTTACCTGGTGATCCCAGCAATATTTCTAAGGCACCTGTGGTCAAATACTAGTAACTTACGAATATCTTCTACTCTTAAAGGCCAAGTTTCGCAGCCGTATAGTAGAACGAAACGAACTGACGCGCAGTATACTCGTCCCTTAATTGATAGACGGATATCTCGCCTTCGCCATAGATGACGTAAGTTGGCAAAGGCCAAGCGAGCTTTTCGAATCCGTGCTGAGATTTCGTCAGACACCAACCCATTAGGGCTGATCAGACTTCCAAGATAAGTGAAGTTGTCGACGCGTTCGACTACTTCACCCCCTATCCTTAGTTCAGGTGTTGACGCAGACCAGTCCTGAAGCAACAACTTGCATTTGGAGGGAGAGAAGCGCATCCCAAACATTCTGGCATTGTTACTCAGTGCTACCAAAAGACTCTGCATTTCATCAGCGTCAAAGTATTATTGAAGCTAATATTTTAGACACTAAATTAGATTCTAAGGTCCTAGCTAGAGAAGCCTGATGTCTTATTTGGCAGTGTTCGGACGTTAAATGCTCCTACATGTAGTTCAGGGCGTAGTTTCAGAAGACCGGGAATAACGTTCCGCGTACTCGAACCGTTTGCATTAGCGACGCGGAGATAAAGGAACGTGAGTCATGGTGATAAGAGAGTTATTAAGTGTAGGAAGAATTTAGTTGTGACCAACTTGGTCACGCGTGCTGTTACGGGTATGAGAGCTGATGCCACCTCCCGGCTGCCCACACTGTGGAAGGATATTTTCTGAGGAACCTGAAAAGAAAGCTACATTAGTGTTAGTTTTAACGACCTGGGAGCGTGACCGCAGAGCCCAAGGGACAACTGCTTGAGGCCAGTCGCGCACGGCCTTTTTGTGGGAGGTTTTTAACGTGTTAGCTGCATTCTTCAAAAGGCCTTACCGCCGGAGACGGAAATCCATAAGATAAGGCGACATGTGCATTTTCAGAGTCGACCTTTTCTAACTCCACTCTTCTTTGTGGGAAGGCAGCATTGCTGTTATGCTGCTCAATTGGTTCATTACGATAGGCAAGCCTGACTACCACGTCAAGGTATCAGCTATGGTCGGGTTTGAGAAATAGTGCATGAACTAGCACTATAACAAAGTTTCACTAAGAATTTACTACTTCATAATTGAACCAATTAAATGTGAAGATGAACCATGTTACACAACGCTCCGAATACACTACCATGTCGCTTATTTCGACTTGTCTCTTGGAATAACACTAAATAATACATTTGAATCGATCACCTAAATATAATTACATTGTCTTTGTAAATAAATTTTATGTTTACATACGGAAATATAGTTTTAATTACTAAGTACATTATGTGACGAGAAAAACTCCTTTCCAGTAACTTCATATTAGTCAAAAATACAGGAATAAAGAAGTATCTAAGTCATTTCACAACTTTAGATGCGTAGCTCCTGTAATAAAACTGTAGTGGGTCAATAAAACAGGGAATATATTTTGGGAAAAAACAATCCTAAGCACAAGCCGTGTTTCATATACATGAGGTAAAATTTGAAAGCATCTCCACTATACTTATCTGATAAGTAACAGACAGGTGACTTAATAATTTTCTAAGCCCCGTACCTCAGTGCCCTAATATATCAAAAGATTTTCTACAAAAAGAATCAACAGTTAGTTTAGCAATGCCGTGAGCTGTCGTACAACTGGCATGAGTATTTGTCTAGTGCACAAGTGTAAATGACGGTAACAATAAAGTACTAACAAACCTGACTTACCTAATTCAGGAGGCAGTACAGCAAGGCGATTGTTCTGAAGATGGAGTTCTTTTAATCTGGTAAGTAAACATATCTCTGCTGGTAGAGACACAAGGTCATTGTCACGAAGAGCCAACTAATTTGTTGATTCAATTAAAATATTAAGACCTTACTATTTCCAAATTCACAAGTTTTCCAATGCCAGGTGGAATGCGTTCGAAATCATTATCTGACAAGTATAGAGCTCTAAGTGTTACCAAGTTGAAGAAATTATCAGGCAAACTAGTTTCTTTTAAGTTATTATACGTCAAATCGAGAATTTCGAGGGAAGGGAAAGCACCAAAACCGCGAGGTAAGACAGACAGCTTATTCATTCTCACAATTTTAAGAAAAATGACATAAAATAGTACCTACCCAAGATTTAAAGATCGTAAATATGTTAACTCCACAATCTTTGGAGAGATATCCTTTGAAAAAGCACATCAACAGTAAACGCTGGTGCCTACCACAATACAATTATTAAAGAGATTCAGGTGTTCCAAAGTTTGCAGAGTTGATATCTCTTGAGGTATTTCTAAACCGCACATGGTAATTAATGAAACATTAACGCACCCGTTATTTTATTGTGAGACAGAGTTAGGGAACGTAAATGATCCAACTTTGCTAAAAAACAGTCAGCAAACCCAAAAAATAAGTTACCAAGCTCTGAGATGTAGGGAATCGAAGTCAGATCTTTACGGATAGCCTCTAACGCATGCTCCTTTCCTTCACGTACGTCTTCTATAGTTTTGCGGAAGTTCTTCAGTTTTCCAGATATCATAGTACCGACAAACTATTACGATGACAACATAACCAGCGACCTGAAGACACAACAAAAAGTCCGAAAAATGAAATGGGGTGCATCCTTATTTTTTAGATGTAGATAAATATGATAGGCAAGCCGAAGGGACAAAACTGAGAGAGATGTAGGAACTAACATGGTGGAGTCTTTGTCTAAGTCTTTACACACCTCCAACAGTATAATTTAGAACCAAAATAATGGAAAATATGTTCACTGGATTAGCAAAAGCAATAGAAATAACATTAGAAACCAGCAACAAGATGACAACATACAGCAAAACCACCCGTTATGTATAGTAAGACGAACGATTTTGGATCACTAAGACAATCAATTACTTTACAAAACTGGATTGTTTCGCGGAACATATTTGTAAACTTAGCGATTTCGGGTTACATACATGAACGAACCTTATAAAATGATACGTTCTTATAGTTGGCAAAGGTTTTAGAAAAATCCATCACGACAGGATAGCGATATTTGCTGAAAACCCTTGCCTCTCTTCATGACACTTAGGTGTGAAAAATATGATAGTTTCACCAACAATTACCAGACTGCTTTAAGGATGTCTGTAGTAATTACATCTCCTATACTACCCTAAACAGTTCGTCCAAACTCTCGAATTTCGATGCCGAAGGCTGGATCGGCAAAACATGCGAAAGTAACTGATACTCGGAAGTATGAAGAGCTGTTTTGCGGCCCGAAAGATGTCAACCGACACAATAATAAGGGGCTCAGTTCTGTTGAATTTGGTCAAAAGTGACCGGATGGTGAGAAAAACCAAGTTGTTTAGTTGATTACTATGTCCCATTTTCTTATTTTCGAAGAGCTTTGAATTCGCGTCTTGTACATAGCAGGAACTACAACGATTTAAGTAACTAGCTACTGACTGAATTCTTGAAGTTTACAAAACTTACCACACATAATAGGTTGAACTTAGAGAAATACTTAACTAACTTTCCATATATCTACCTCTTCCACAAACTTTATTACAACTTTCGTTTCCACACTTGATCTAATCAAGCTGTAGTGTTATGATAAGTCATAGTAATTATTTTCACAAGTTCCAGAATAACAGGAGTGATGGAATACTTGTTAACAATGGTATGAGTTACGACTAGTGAAACGCCACAATTCCCACTATGCCTACCACAATCACACACGTTATGAAAACTGTGGAAAAGTGGAACCTAAGGATCTTGTTAAAGAATAATACATTCCAAGTGTCTTGATGAATCGTGAAAATTTTTGGAAAGCAATTGAGTTGCGACACTTTAGAGCAACAACCTAAGAGATCCAACATCATTTTAGAATGGACTAGTTAAATGTCATACAAAATAAACTTATGTAGGTAATGACAACTGCTAGGGTTAAACTTCAAAGTAAGATAAGTCTAAAACACAAAACCGAGTGACATAGAAGCAACCTAGCTGACCAAGATATGGAAGAGATAACCGAATGCGTCATTATACTAGGAGTTAAAAATAGGGCATTCAAAAAGGACAGTGGTATTTTTCCTCGCTGAGTAAATTCTATTGTTTTGATCGTTTATACGTATCAAAACTACTGGTTTTCACTTTGAGTTTCTTTCAGTTAAAGTATTCGATTAGGTTATCGTTTTTGTTTCTAAAGTAGTTTTGTTGTCAGTACTTTTGAGTACTCTGTTTTTTTATAGTATCTGTTAGTACTTTTGGTTCTAATGATCCACAGTTCTCCACTTTTTTTGGTCTTAGATTATTTTTGTCACTGAGTATTTTTGCATCTAGTTCTTTCTAAAAAAAACCGTGTTTAAATGACTGGACAGTGCAAAAAAAGTAATTGCCAACGCCTGGGCTGTCGTTATCCTGTTAAAAGCGGTATGCAGTGCGATGAGTGCAAAGGATGGTACCACGAAGTTTGCACAAATTTAACGCCTGCAGCTTTCAAACGGTTCAGTAGGAATGGTTGCGTATGGTTCTGTCAACAGTGCTGTTCGGATGCTAACAGCTTGCTAACCGAGGCCATCTCATTGGTTAGTGCTGCTAAAAAATGTTTTGGCAAGAGTGGTCGCGACACATCATCAAGTACTCGCTCCGTTGACACGCAGATTGGCGTGAGGCAAACTAAAGTGAGTTCGAAAACAGATGACTCGCACCGACCAAAGGAGGGAGAACAGTCCTCAAAGAGTTCTGTCCACACAAAAAACTCAAGGAAAAAAGTTTCTTCTGTCCCACGTCCTCAAAATGGTATCCAGAAAGAAACACAGAAGCCGCAACCGCAAGGCTCGATCAGTTTCTAAAGGGACACCATACCTGACCTCCCAAGTCATCGAAAACCCTCCGGAATCCCACAGTATGTTTGACGCGACTGTGGTTGCTTCTCCAAGCAACGTTGAAGAATGGGTACAGGTTGTGAGGAGGCAACAGAAAAACGATATAAAAGGGAACCCTGCCCCCACAAAAGTAGTCGAAAAATCGAAGGCTGATCACAGTAACAGATCAGTCATTTTTCATAGGATCAAGGAGAGCGAAAGCTCCGAACCAATAAACTCGTTTTGAGCATGGCATTGTCCTGATAAAAAAGCTACTAAATCAACTCATGCATCAAAATATCTCCGGAGTCACCTTGCTAAAGGTGTATAGAATAGGTAGTTTAGCGAACTTGAAGCCTAATCAATCTAGACTGCTTAAAGTAGTTTTCAAATCTTCGAATGAAAGGGACTTAATTTTACAGAATGGACATAAATTAAAGGGTTCGGGAGTTTTTATCCGAAAGGACTTGCCGTTGGCAGATCGTGTAAAAAGACGGGAAGCCGAAAAAGAACTACAAATGAGGTTAGACGCTGGCGAAAAGGACCTGAAAATTGTAAATTTCCGGGTTGTGAGGCTTCGTCAGAGAATGATGGTAAAGCCACTCTGGGTGAAACACGAAGCCACTTAAATAGGCTACAGATCTGTTACACTAATGCCCGAAGCTTGCTCAATAAGCTATCGGAGCTAGGTGAACAGATTGATTCTGCAGAGCCAGACATAATCGCAGTCACAGAAACCTGGCTGACACAGTCTATAGATAATATGGAACTCGATTTTGAGGGTTTTGCTTTAGTAAGGACCGACAGAATACATAAGCGTAAAGGAGGGGGAGTAGCTCTATTCATTAGGAATGCTATCCCGTTTGTCATTATTGATAGTGTATCCCATGAAAGTGGGACGTGTGAATTGGTTAGTTGCCGCTTGAAATTCAAGGGGCAAGAGCTGCTAATTGGTTTGGTCTATCGCAGTCCAAGCTGTGAGGTAAATGATGTCCTGTTAAACAGGCTCGAAAATTGGTCGCGAAGTGGTCGATGTCTAATCCTAGGGGACTTTAATGCACCTATGGTAGACTGGGGAAATCTGCGAACCGAATCATCAAATAATTCCTTCGAGCAGGAACTAGTTGATGCGGTTATAACATGTGCCCTAGTGCAACATGTGAAAGAAGCGACTAGGTACGACCCGGACACTGAATCATCCTTACTAGATCTTATATTAACTCACTATGAGGATGACGTTGCGAACCTCCTTTACATGCCACCCCTAAGTAAAAGTGATCATGCAGTTTTAACTTTTGACTTCCATATAACTGTCAATCACGAGCAAGCGTCAACTCAATCCAGACCTAACGTCTGGAAAGCAAGCATACCAGATATCATGCACTCGGCATCATTAATAGATTGGACAATAGACCCAGAGTCCTCAATTGAAACGGCTTGGGATGCATTCCGAAATTTATACTTAAAAGTTACCGCACCCCACATTTCTTGGACTATACCAAGGGGGCCGAGAAACTCCCCACCATGGTTCAATAGGGAGGTCCGCATCCTTCTCCGTAAAAGAAAAATGTGGGATAGACTTAGGTTACTGGGGATGATGAAACAAAATCTCAGTACCGAAAAGCTAGGAATACCTGTGCCTCGACCCTCCGTAAGTCTAGAAAGCTGTACGAAGAAAAGATTGTTAAGGAATCCATAGAATGTCCTAAACGCCTGTATTCCTATATAAACCAAAGGACAAAAAGAAGAGGAATTATTCCTGCACTATGGGGAGACAGTACTGCCGCATCATTAGTGGAAGATGACTTTGGTAAGGCTCAAGTGTTCTCAAACTACTTTAGCGATGTATATACCATAGAAGCACCCTTCTCGTCAGCGCATACAACCCCACACACACACATACACTGGATAGCGTGACCATTAATGAACTCGATGTCATTGATCTTCTAAATAAGCTTGACATAGGTAAATCCATGGGGCCCGATGAATTGCATCCTAGGCTACTAAAGGAATTATCTAACTTCGTTGCGGACCCTTTAAGTATATGCTTTAAGCTTTCCGTTACGCAGGGTCGTTTACCAAAAGACTGGAAGAACGCCATAGTAAGTCCTGTCTTTAAAACAGGTACGAAACATAAACCTGAGAATTACCGACCCGTTAGCCTAACTAGTATGGTTGTTAAAATCTTAGAAAGGATTATTCGGAAAGAGCTGTTTAAATACCTCGATGTAAGCCGAATCCTCTCGGAGAAACAGCACGGTTTCAGAATAGGTTATTCTTGTCTCACTAACTTATTAGTCACTCGAGAAAGCTGGTGCGCTTTTAAGGACCAAAAGTTACCTGTAGACGTGGCTTACATTGATTTCAGCAAAGCTTTTGACAAGGTTCCGCACAACCGGCTGTTATATAAGCTAAAAAATGTCGGAATTGGAGGCAATCTATTGACGTGGATAGAAGACTTCCTTGTTGGGCACCAACAAAGAGTACGGGTAAACTCAAAATTATCTAGCTGGGAAACTGTGTTTATTGGAGTGCCCCAGGGTACAGTTTTGGGGCCAGTGCTATTCCTCTTGTATGTAAATGACCTTCCTCGCTTACTATCATCATCGGTCTTGTTATATGCTGACGATGTCCAGATATGGAGAACGATACGATGTAAGGGTGATAGCTGAGAACTCCAAAATGACCTGAAGAAATTATCCGAATGGTCTCATACATGGCAGCTGCCGATAAATACTTCCATGTGTGTTGTGATGCATATCGATCATCAAGGTTCAGATACATACACGATGAATAACACTGAGCTACCTGTTGTCCAGACACATAATGACTTAGGAGTCATCGTTAGCCGATCTGAAGACTACTGCACACTGCCGTGCAATAGCCGCCAAAGCTTTTAGAACTTTATGGTCAATACTTAGGGCTTTTACTCATGTCGACGCTCAAACGTTTTTGACTTTGTATACAGTGTTCGTACGTCCTAAACTTGAGTACTGCATACAAGCGGCTAGCCCCTGCTTAAAAAAAGACAGTGAGCTTTTGGAAAAGGTCCAGAGAACAGCAACTAAGCTGGTTCCCGTAATAGCGAAGCTTCCGTATGATGCTCGACTGGCCAAGCTAAACCTATTCCCTTTGTCATATCGTAGAACTAGAGGGGGCGACTTGATTACAGCTTTCAAATTGCTTAGTGATAAATTTGCACCTGATATGCCCTCATTTTTCTTGTCTTCCAAAACAGAATTTACGAGGACACTCAAAAAAAGTTCAGAAGCCCAGAACAAATTACTTCTCAGCTGATTATCGACTTTCCCACCGAATCATCAACGAGTGGAATTCATTATCTCAACACGTGGTTGAAGCTTCGTCCGTAGATTGTTTCAAAAGAAAGTTGGATCAACTGAGAGAACACAATTGCCAGGACTAACACAAGCCATCAAGCCTCCTGTCCTTTCCAAACTGAAACTGACTGAGATTCCAGTGTGACGAAAACACTGAATTCTAACCCCAATCTCTAATACCGAATCCTAGCCCTACTTTTATGTTTGCTCTATAACTTGTTCATCGTTGGTTCGGGTCCGTACTATAGAACAGTCACAACCATTTTTGTCAGGTTTTTTATAAGATTTTTGATTCAGTGTGATTAATAGCTATTCAGAAGACAACTACAGTAAGTGGTCCTGTAAGAGGGAAAACAGTAAATAAATGCATGAGCAGAAGCCCAATATGCTTAACCAGGACCACTTAATCCTAACTCACATCGCGTCACTCCAAACTTACGATCGATAGTGTTTTTCAAAATTGTGAAATTTAATGTCCAATATCTCTGCGATGAGCAAATATGCCAACTTGTTATGAAGAAGCAGCTTAAACTAAGTTGAAAAACGTGTGAAACTTGAATTTTTACTCATTGTGACATTATAGGTGCACTATCAAGGTTATCATTCAGAATCTGTCCAGTTGCAAATTTGTTCGAAACTATTAGGTCAAATTTTGACGATAATGCTTACTTTTTGGTATCAAGATTCTTATGTTTTGAGTTAGATGACAAATTTTGCCGTCTTTGTTCACCTAACAAATTAAATGGCCTAGTTAAAACATTGTTATGGCAGACCCACATATTTCTTTCTGCTTGAGGATGAAATCTGACGTGATAACTTCATCAAGTGATACTACGACGTATTCGCCAGATTAATCTGTGCTTCAAACAAGAGGCATTTCAGGAGATATCCGTGCGGAAAACGCTGTTCTACAAGGTCTCAGGTAACACTCGAAGCAACTAGCCTTCTAATCACAGCTACAAAACTTCCAGAAGAACTCGACTCGACAAACATGACTGACGTCAAAAGTAAATTACAACAAAATTTAGTCATTTGGACCCTTATTTTTCAGGGCGACAGGCTAAACTTAAGAGGAAGTGGTGTCATATTACGTTTGACTAACACCTTGCCCCCGGGCTGTAGCGACAGAAGGACATGGCTTAACGCTATGTGATCTGTTGCGATGCCAGTTGAAATTGAAATCTTAAGAGACAGAACAAGTTACAGTGTGGGTCGAAAAGGAGCAAAACCATATGGTAAATGAATTCTCTGCATACGTATACTGAGGCCTCTTGAAGACAGAGCCACTAGCTTTAATCCAGCACACTAAAGAAAATATCATTCGTGACCTACAGAACTCTTCTATCTGACACTTAGTCTCCGTTCATGGAAATGATGTTGGTTAAATGAAGTGAATTTCATCTATAGTTTGAAGTGTTCATACAGTTATTGCACTCAAGTTTTTTGCTGATATTATTATTATTCACAAACAGCTTATGGGTACATAAATTTTGTGAACAAACCACTTTGGGTTTCTTCAGAAATAAAATAACACACAAATTTCGGTAATGTTAGCATAAAATTTGCCATATTGAAAAATTCAGGTTCTGTGTAACTGAAAAGGATATTGAGTTGACCTTAAAGAAGTAAAGGGAGAAAATAAAGGGGTAAGAAATACGGAAACGCGAAATACGTAAATAGTTTAATGAGCGTGTTTGTGAACACAGAACACATACAAGTATATCTAACAAGTGGATGAAGTAACCATGTAACGAATAGTAAAATGTGAAAATCACTCCACAGTATGTTATTGGACGGTATTGTCATTTGTGTGCTTCTCTCTGTATTGTACTTCGATCTTTATTCAGACCACTTTAAACCACACTTTGTGTTCTTCAATATTCCTCGTCTGAGTTTTTACCATGCGTCCGTGGTCAAAGATTTACCTTTTGTTACCTAACTTTCCTACTGCATGTCGCCGGACTATTGTCAATAAGGTCATGTTTGAATAAACTAAAAGTCATGGCGTGGTTCAGTTTATGGCTGTTCACCATTGTCTGTCTGCTTGTAAAGATCTCTGGAACCCTTGTATAGAGATAGATGATCCCATCTTGTTGGAAATATTTTTATTGATTTTTAGGTATCGAACTCTTGCTCAGTAACTATTCCTTTTTTTGTTTAGCACGCTAATTTGTGTTATAGAAAAGCTCAATTGTGTAGCACAGTGTGGTGTTTGAATGAACTAATGACTCCTTTGTACTTGTTGAATGTTTGATTTCGAATTCTAAATACAGTACATTCGTTGGTGCTTGTGTAGTACTTCTTGATTCAATTGCGTTATTTCTGGGATTCTTAGTTCATACTATAATTCAATTACTCCTAATTATCATATTGACGTCGCGATGGAGCCTGCGTTGGAACAGTTAGATATTCATTCAACTTCTGAAGCTTTTGAGGATTATTTGGAAATGTTTGAAATTTGGAGCATGACCAAGATGGATGTTAAAGGTGATAAAATTGTGGCACATTTCCTGACATTCATCGGAAGAGAAGCGTACAGCTTATTGAAAACTTTGGCATATCCAGAAAGACCCATCTCACTTCCTTATGCAACTATTAAGGAGCTATTGTTAAATCATTTAAAGTGCACTAGCTTTGAATGTCGTGAAAAGGCAAAATTTCATAAGATGATTCGTCGAAATGACCAAAAGGTTAGGGAATTCATCATTGAATTGCAGAAACAAGCAGCCAAACGTAATTTCGGTGATCAACTTCATGTGCAACTGAGAGATCGATTAATTGCAGGAATTAACTTGCCGGGTTTGGAAAGAGAGTTGTTAAGAATGCCTAACTGTTCCTTTCAAGATGCTAGAACTGCGTGTATTAATTACGAGGCAGTGAATGAACTTGATATCCAGTCGATGAAGATTTCTAATACTTTGCTTAGTCGTCATGATGGAATACAATCTCAGGGTCAATCAAAATTGCGTTCGTTTAACAGTGGTTCCTATTCTCGTGTAAATATGAAAGGTGTTTCAACAAGGAATTACAAAGGAAATCACAAAGGTGAGACCAAGTTTGGCAAATGTTTATCATGTGGAAAACTTCATTCTCGTAATTCATGTGCATATCGTAATGCTAAATGTTTTAGATGTGGTAAGATAGGACACATTCAAACAGTATGCAAAGCTACTGTTCATTTTGCCTCAAGTAGTAATAAATCCTGTAATTTAGATTCCAATAATTCAGCTGTTCCTAATGATCATTTATCTTTGTCTACCATTTCGAAAGGTAATACTCATATTCAAAAGCGATTATATACATCGCTTGGTTCATTTCACGACTTTATTGTGGACACAGGTAGCGTAGATTCCATTATTTCATTCAAGAACTTGAAATCTTTAGATCCTAACGTTGTGGTACGACCCACTGAAATATCAATATTGGGGATTACTGGACACAGACTGTCCGCACGAGGATGTTGTGAATTGCTAATAAGAGATGATAACTCTTCATACATACCTTGTGAATTTTTAGTTAGCGAAACAGGACTTTCTATACTGGGTTTTAAGGAATTTGAAAAGGCTTAAAGTGGAGTTGTCTTTCCTAGTTTCTAAAGAAAATTCTGATGCTTTACTTAAAGATTTGATATGTGTGCTAAGTGCAGTGGAGTTATGAAAATTCAGCCTATAAAACTTCGAGTTCAGGGTGATCCAGTCTTCCTTAAAAGACGAATAATTCCTTATGGTCTTCGAGATGCAGTACATAAAACATTAAACGATTTGTGTGCAAAAGGCATAGATGAACCGGTTCAGTCTTCAGTATGGGGTACTCCTATTGTTACGCCACTGAAATCGGATGGCAAGACTCCTAGAATATGTGGTGATTATAGATTAACATTGAACTCTCATTTGTTGAAGCAAACGTGCACGACGGTAGAGGCTGAGGATATTCTAAATCGACTTCATGGTTCTAAAGTGTTCTCGAAAGTTGACCTAAAAGATGCTTATCCTCAAATCTCTTTAGATCAATCCTCATCTATTTTGACGACGATTAACACTCCTTTTGGTCTGTTCAAATATAATTTCCTTCCATTTGGTCTAAGTTGTTCTCCAGCCATATTTCAGGAAGTTATGAATAAGGTGGTTAGTGATCTTGAGGGTGTTGAAGTTTATCAAGATGATCTCATTGTTCACGGTTCTGATAAGGTAGTTCATAACCAGAGACTTATTGCTTTATTGCGTCGTTTAATTGAGAAGAATATTACATTGAATCCAAATAAGTGTTCATTTTGTGCATGTAGTTTTGAATGTCTTGGATACCTAGTTGATGGTAATGGTTTTAGACCAGATATGAAACGACTATCTCCACTGACAAATGCACCATCTCCAAAAAATCTTACGGAACTTCGTTCAATAGTGGGTGCTCTTCAATACTATTCCCGTTTTATTCCTAATTTTTCTTGTCGTGCTATTTTTACTGATCATGTAGCTTTAAAGTTTATTTATCATCCTGAAAAATCCTTAGCACGTTCCTCAGCTGCTATGGTTCAACGATGGAGTATTGCATTGAGTGACTATGACTGTACGGTTCAGCACAGGATTGCCAAACAAATTCAACATGTTGACTACATTTCTTGATAGTCATTACAAGATAAACCTGTTAATACTTCAGACTGTTTGTTGGTGCAAACTTTACCAGTGAAACATCCAGATCACATTAGAGAAACTCGTAGATACTTTGGATGTATAATTAATGCTATACGGAAAGGTTGGAATGCTAATCTGAAACGTAGAATTCCTATCTATTTTTCAAAGCGGGATGAGCTATCCACTACTCCTGATGGTATTTTGTGTTTAAATGATCGTGTTTTTATTCCTCCTTCATTGCGTAAATATGTCCTTGAAGATCTTCATAGTGGACATTTAGATGTTGAAAAAATGAAGTCATTGGCGAGGCTTACATGTTGGTGGCCAGAAATAAATGCAGATATTTGTCGTACAGCAAACAATTGTGAAAAGTGTCATAAGCTGAAAAATCAACATTTGAAGTGGACTCCATGGCCAGTATCGTCTGAGGCCTAGCAGAGAATTCATGCAGACTATTGTGGTCCGTTTCTTGGCAAATACTATTCGCTTGTAGTTACTGATTCCTTTTCAAAGTGGCCTGAATTTTTTTTCACAACTTCACCAAATTCTGACTTCACAATTCAAGCATTAATAAAGGTGTTTAGTCGAGAAGGGGTTCCCATGGTGTTAGTGACTGATAACGGCTTTCATTTTGCTGCAGATGTAGTCACTACCTGGTTAAATAGTATAGAGTGCAAACATCTGTTTACTGCTCCCAGACATCCTTGTTCCAATGGTCAGGCAGAAAATGTTGTCAGGACATTGAAAACTGCTATTGATTCTATTGCCGCCTCAACATTTATTGAGCTGTAGAGGGGAGTAGATAACTTTCTACTGCAATATAGAAATGTCAGACATTCGGTGACGAAAGAGACTCCATCAAAACTATTAAA